CCTTTACCTAATGCCTGTGACAACAGAAGGGAAATCTAAATTCAGAACGTAATTTTGAGTGGGAAATAGTGAAATGTCCTTTGAACAGGTCAACGTCATTTCTACAGCCTCCTGGCCTGAGAATAAACATGTACTATGGTATGGTACTATTTAAAACATGACACTGGAAAAAGTTCTTTACTGATTTAGAGTTCGAATGGCCATGATTTCCTTAGAAGACTAAGAAGAAACTTCCTAGGCATTCACATATTCTTTATTTGTCTCCTAGTATGTTTCTCTTCCTTGCCTTATTCCATAAGGATATGTTGGATGAAAAATCTAAAGTTATTTCAAAGGTCCTTAGTATCCCCTGGAAAGAAAATCTTTCACTATTTTGTTCATCTCATTCTTTGGATACTTTTGGCAGTTGTATACCTCTATTAATACTTTTCTTCCTTGTTTTTGCAGTACTGGAAAGTTCTAGGTCTCTTCTGACCACCTGTAAATTTCCTTTTGTGTGAATGGAAGCTTTTTTCCTTCCTATTTAATAAATATAGGCATTACACATTCTTTTTTGTATTGCATTTTCTCTTTAAATACTACCTTGGAGATATTTGGATCCCTTTACTTACCTGTAAGAATGTAAAATTTGTGGTATTATCCCTGACTTACATTCTAAGTTCCAGCATTTCCAAGTAACAGGTATTTTTACCTTGTGATAGAACTGTATTCCACTGATTATCTAAATTTAATGACTTATCTCACATTTTTCTTCATAAAGTTACGTGTATAATAATTCCAGAGATAGCTTGAGCTCCAGAATAGTTTAAACTGGTTATGCAGTGATGTCTACATCTCCACTCAACATACCTTGGCACTGGCCTTGTCTTTAGGCTGGTAGTAAGGTAGCTTTTCCATAGCTCTGGGCATCACACCTAGACATGGAATGGTTCAAAGCAAAGTGATGAACCAGCTTTTCCTATGATTTTTTTTATAAGAAAGAAGTAGTGTTACACAAAACCAGTTCTACCTTATCCCACCAGTAGATTTTCCTTCTCTTGCAACTGGCTGGAACTGAGACTAATCTTTGAAACAGTGAAAACAATGACTGGCTTAGACTAATCACCTGGTATTGATTGGATGTTGGAGAGGCAATAACAGCATCCACTACTACATGATCTCCTGTCTATCCCCACCTGCCAAAATTCCACTAATCCTTCAAAGTGCCTATCTTCTATTGAACTTTTCATGTCTACTACTGATAAAACCCCCATATCTTTTTTTGTCCACACTACCTAGATAACTCTACCATGTACTGATTTGTAGACAGATATTTCTATATGTCTTAGCTAACTTAAATATTCCTTTTGTCCTATTAGTTTGTAGAACAACTTCACATTGAGAGTTAGACATGAAGTCCACTGGCTCTATAAGTCCAGCAATCCTCACTTCAGGCTGAGGCCTACTGTACACTCTAATATCTCCATGTAAGTTCCAAGAGGGGCTGTCCTAGATAGTCTCTGGAGCACTGCTACCTGAACCTCTGCCTTAGCTCTGTTCTTGCTGTTATCATTGTCTGATTAACTGGCTCTTTACTGCATAGGGGGTGGTCACAATGTATTCTCCTGCACAGATAAGTTGACAGCCTTACCACAAGAATAAATCCCAAATGACATGAAAAAAAGCACTTTGAAATATAAAAATTAAATTGATAAGATACAGATATCTAGACTTTATTGGAAATATACAGGGAAAATACCAATGCAGAGTAACTATTTAAGGAAAAATAGTATACACTATTTTAAAACCACAAAACATAAACAAATATTTACTTATTTCATAAACTATTTAGTCCATAATGGCATAGAGGTAAACCAGAATATATGTATACTATTTGGGATCAACTATCTTTCTTGGGATGTTTCTAGAGCGAGGTAACTCATATTTTTACAACAAGGCATTTTATTTATTTTCATGTCTTAATATTGTTATAAAAAGTTCTAGGTTGTCTAGATAAGGACTCATTTAATTCATATAAGAATAAACTATTTGGAAGCAAAGATTTATAAACCTGTATGATTGTATATATAAAGTTATCTGATTTTATGATAGGATAGAAAGCAGTCTTTTCACATGCCCATTACATGGAGTTCACATTATTATAACTGCTTTCTGAAAATTTCTGAGAAACATATTCATTTGCCATATGCAGATGAAATTAAATAATCTGTCAAAATGTCAGATAAATAGACATATATGCAAAGAAAAGAAGTGCTCCTATATTTCAGTAAATTTTTTTGTCCTTTTTTCTGGTAATGCAAGTGTCTCTGGAAAATTTTATCTGTTCAAAATTATAAACATATATTTAACTCTGAATCTTTGATGAGAAAAATGAGAAGACAAAGAACAATCTGTCTAGGTTTTATTGTTTCACTGATATCACTGAACACAATATGAACACAAGTAATCCTCTGATTACTATAGCTTTTCTTGACATGAAATATGTTGCTTTATAGATGGAAGAAAATTAAATTAGATTTAATTCTTGGAAGTCATAGTTTTAGTGTTTAGGCTCCATTACCTTTTTAGGGAACAACTGAACTTTCTCTGGCTGTTTAGAAGTTTGACTACATGAGACAAGGAGATGTACGCGATTTAAATGTGAAATATTTGAACAGAATAAAAAGGTGAAAATCACATGCTCCTCTTTAAGAAACAAGAAACATAAAGAAGTAATTTGGGAGAAAATATGAATGATTCATCTATGAAAGCACAGAATAACAAATAAATAAATTGTTCAGAAAAATTATCTGAAGCCCGATGAAGTGGCTTATGGTCAATATCACAACACTTAATTGATTTTTTTTTTTTAAGATAAAATTGGAGGCTGGCAAGACACATGAGCAAGGAAGGGCAGCCTTAATATTTCAATCATGGGAAAACTATAGCATTAAGATTTACACAATGGGACTTCGCTGGTGGTGCAATGGTTAAGAATCCACCTGCCAATGCAGGGGACACGTGTTTGAGCCCTGGTCCGGGAAGATCCCAAATGCCCTGGAGCAATTAAGCCTGTGCGCCACAATTACTGAGCCTGCGTTCTAGAGCCCACGAGCCACAACTACTAAGCCCGTGTGCCCAGAGCCCCTGCTCCTCAACAAGAGAAGCCACTGCAATGAGAAGCCTACGCACTGCAATGAAGAGTAGCCCCCGCTCGCCACAACTAGAGAAAGCCCGCACGTGCAGCAACGAAGACCCAATGCAGCCAAAAATAAATTAATTAATTAATTTAAAAAAAAAGACTTATACAATGATTCTAGGAACTAACCAAATCAAAACAAACCTAAATGAAACAAACCAAAACAAAAAAACAAACAACAAACCCATGAATAAACACTTAAGAAAAGATTTAACTATTGTGAACAATGTTGCAATAAATATGGGAGTTCAGACATCTTTCTGATATCCTGATTTTGTTTTTCTTAATATACACACAGAAGTGAGATTGAGGGATCAGCCAAGATATGGAAATACCTGAGTCCATCAATGGATAAATGGATAAAGAAGAAGATATACATATACATACATACATACACACACACACACACACACGCACACACACACACAAACATACACACACACACATACAATGCAATATTATTCAGCCATGAGAAAGAAGGAAATCCTGCCACTGGTGACAACAGAGATGGACCTTGAAGTCATTATGCTAAGTGAAATAAGTCAGACAGGGAAGAAAATGTAATGTACAAAAAAGCTGAACTTGTGTTTATAGTGTTTGAAGTGGTGATTGCTAGGGGCTTGGGGGTATGTTGGTCAGGGGGTGCAAACTTCCAGTTAGAAGATCAAAAAGTTCTGGGGATCTAATGCATGACATTGTAGTTAAAATTGAAGTATAGTATTGTATACTTGAAAATTGCTGAGAGAGTAGATCTTAAATGTTTTCACCACAAAAAAAAGAAATGGTAATTTTGTGATATGATGGAGGCGTTAGCTAATGCCACAGAGGTAATCATATTGCAATATGTAAGTGTATCAAATCAATATGGTTTATACCTTAAACTTACAGGACGTTATGTGTCAATTATATCTCAATAAAGCTAGAGGTAGGGAAAGCTTTGAGAAGCTTCTCTGAAGAAGGAATGCTATACAGGCTTAGTACGTGGGATGAGTTAGTAGCTTTAGCCTGGGGCAGACAGCAGCCAAAGGGAAGCAGTGAGAGTTTTAAAAACAAAACTTTTTAGATATTATTCTTGCCTTCTGTTCAGTGCTCTGAGACAATCATTGACTTTTCTCACTGCAATGGACCACCAATGCTAGTATGTGCATAGAAAGAAACAGCAAAAGGGTAGGGTAAAGTATTAAAAAAATAAGGACTGAAAAACAAGCTACACTGGGACAATTTCCCACTGTTTCCCCCCAAACTGCCAGATTATAGCCTCTTAAACTAGAGTGATGACATCCTTTCTGTTATAATAATTTAACACAATATATGTATGCAATATGTATATGGATGTATATGTATACACATTCGCATATACAATATGTATAGATACATATAAAATATATAGAACTATGTATATGTGTGTATATAATGTATATATAATCACACTGATAAGCTGAGATTGAATAATGATACTGAAGAAATACACATAAGCAGATATTCACATTCGTAATTAAAATAAACCTTAGCATTAGAAGCATTAGAAAAATATACCTAGCATATTTTTACAAGACACAAAGGAAGAAACATAACTAAGTCAACCTTAAAAAGAGAGTATAAAATGAAAATAGGTGGTAGGATAGCAGTTGGCTTGCTCACCAGTATCAAGATAAGTTGTAAAATGATAGCAACAAAAATAGTGTTGAAATGGAACAAACACAGGGAAATACACATATGGAACAGTATAAAAATTTTGGAAGCGTACCTATGTGTGCATGAAAATTTAATTTAAAAAAATGAAATTGACATTATAAATTAATAGGCAAATGATGAGTTCTTTAGTAGATAGTACTGGGATGTTGATTCATTATAGAAAAATAATATAAAACAGGCTCACTTACTTTAATGTGGACTATATAACATGAACTGTACATGAAATGTAAAATTAAAAGATTATTAGAAAACAATATAGGAACTTATATCAATGACCAAGAATGAGGAATAACTCTTTTCCTATTTTTTATAATTAAGAACACCATGGATAGTATTAAGCAGATTACAGAAAGGAAGAACACACAGTGTATAAAGCTATCAAGGGACTCATTGCGATCTATAATAGGCAAGCAACTTATACAGATCAAAAAGAACAAGACAGTAACCTTAAAAGATAAATTGGCATTATATATAAATAAGTAGTGTATTAAGATGGAATCCCAAAAGCTAACAAAGAGCTGATCAAATTCTTAATGAGAGAAATGCAAACTGAAAGAAAAATTAGCTATCATGTTACACCCATTAGATTATTAAAACTTAGAAAATATATACTACTAAGTGTTGATGATGATGTACAATATAGATGCCCACACACCCTACCAATGGCAACTACTCTGGGGAACCAACCAGCACCACTTAGTTAATCAATTTAAGTATATTAACATACTACAAATCAACAGTTCGATATTTGAGTACACAGCACAAAGAAATGTTCACACTTTTCCATAAATGGAAATACACAAGTCTCTTCATGGCACAGTATTATTCATGGCAACAGGGAGGTGAAGTCAAATAGAGTCATATCATGGAGAATTATGAAGCAGTTAAGTATAACAGAGATATGCAATATAGCCAAATATTCTACAGATTAAAAGAGAATGTAAAACTCAAGCCAAAATGTAAGGTGAAAAAATCAAGACTATGACTAAGGCACAAAATTCAGAGTATGAAATCCTTTTTATTTGCTATTGGTAGAAGACATATTAATTAGTTGACCAGTATAAAGAGAAAAAAAAATACTCAACTTGCAATTCTGTATCCATAAGATAAAAATAAAAGCAGTTACTCCTGAGAACTGAGATTTATTCTGGAAATGAGGCAGAGACCTAATTCATATACTCATCCTCACAGAGAAAATATTGTAATGTGATAAACAACATCATGCACCATACAATAATGAGTTTCAAAGGGCCATATTTTGTAAGGAACTCATGTCTCACTCAGTAAGCTAACACCAAAAAACAATTCAAAGTAAAAGAGATCAACTTGCTTTATTTAAGGACAATCATAGACTCCAGCCAATGGTTGCTATAGGTTGATGCCAGGTAATTTTTCAGCACTCATTTAGAGGAATGGTTAGAACACAATTGTAGGAAACCTCTACACATATATATTTTTCCTCTCTCCCAGACATTTAATATTTATTGAATTTCAGCGAGATCAAAAGTTAGAAATGAGTTAAGCGTAGTTGTCATGCTTTAATATCAGCCAACAAGGGTTGTAGATTTGATATTATCTTTGGAATCTTGAAAGCCCAGAAAGGTCACATCCCCAATGGAGCATATCATTGATTACTATTGATTCTCCAAAAGATCAGCAAAAAAACATACTGAAAAATCAAAGATTGGGCCATTAGTCCTACCACAGTCAGAAATAACACACCTTGATAGAGTTTTAATAGTGTCGAAGAAAGGGAAGACAGAGGAGGTTATTTATAAGGTTTTAGGAGCTGAGCTGAATCAGTTTAAGACGGGTGTTGTAGGAAGGAAAATTGGTTGAGATTGTGCAGAGTTTATTACATAAAGCTTTGCATTGGTGGTAATGAGTTGAGGGTCTAGCACTGAGTCTTGATGAGTAATAAGTAATACATTAGTTTGTAAAAGACAGCAATTATAGTTAAATCATAGTTTAATCTTTGGGAATATTTATGTTCTGGAAAAAAATGGCTAATATGGTTTCTCATTGTTATTGAGCACAGAAACAGAAATATACACCTAGTCCTCATATAGTCTAAATTAAGGACAAGAAATCATATTGGTTTCTGTTCCAATCACTTTGCTACAAAATTTGTCAAGGAAGTATAAAGAAAAAACATCCAGAATCATTACAGGAAGTAAATTTGTTTTTATATTTTAATGCATTAAAATACGGTAATGAAAATTTAAACAGTAAGTACTACTACATAGCTATTAGAATGACTAAACCCAAAAAAGTGATAATAAGCCATTTCTGGAGAGAATATGGAACAAAAGGAGCTCTTACTTATTGCTGCCAGGAATGCACAACAGTATAGTTCTTTGGAAGACAGTTTTGAAGTTACTTACAAAGCTAAACATAATCTTACCATGTAATCTAGCAATTACACTCCTACGGCATTTGTGCAACTTATTTGAAAATGTATTTACATGCTGAAAACTGCATGAGATATTTATAGAAACTTTATTCATAATCACCCAAAACCAGAAATAACCAAGATATCCTTCAATAAATGAACAGATGAACAAACTATCCTGCATCCTTGCAATGGAGCAGTATTCAGCAATAAAATAAAATTGGGCAGACTTCCAGTTTCTAGTTCCGTAAGTAGGGAGCTTGGAAGTTGCCACTGTGTACTAAAAGCAAGTAGAAAGCTGAGCAAACTGAAAAATTCAACAACTGTTTTTGGATCTAAAAGAGCAAGGGCACAGGACAAACCACCGCTGCACAATTATCCACAGCAGGGACTCAGAAGCAGAAACTGCCATAGGATCCAGGGCTGGAGTAGGAATATCTGAACTGTAGATGGTGAATTTCTGGATGCTCAATGTGAAAAACCTTGAGAGCTAAAAACTGCAAGGGGACCCAGCCATAGGGCCCCCCACCCCACAGTTTTGTGAGATTTATCTCCAGAAACTCAACCGAATTCTCACAATAAATATCAGAGAAAAAATTTTGTGTGCTTCCTGCATGGAGAGGGGAAAAGGGACCATGTTGAAATATGAGACTGCATTCTGCCAGAAAGTAAAGGAATTATTTTAAAAATTTCATAATGGTGAACCACCTCAGCTTTCTATAGAAAAAAAAAAATTTTAAATACGAAAAACCATATGCAACCACAAAAAACTGAATAATAGCTAAAACAAACTTCAGGAATAAGAACAAAGCTAAAGGCATCTTACATTCTAATTTCAAAATATGTTACAAAGCCACAGCAATTAAAACAGTATGATAATGACACAAAGAGAGACATATATAGACCAATGAAACAGAATAGAGAGACAACCCAGAAATAAATCTACACACTTATGGGTAACTGATCTCTGATGAGGGTGCCAGGAATATACAATGGGGAGAGAACAGTCTCTTTAAAAATGATGCTGGAGAAACTGGAAATCCACATGCAAAAGAATAAATTTGGACTCTTCTACATTACACACAAAAAATCATCTTAAAATAGACTGAAGACAAATGTAAAACCTGAAACTATAAAAACTTAGAAGAAAACATAGGGGATAAGCTGTATGACAATGGTCTTGTCAATGATTTTTTGGATATAACAATGAAACACAAGTAACAAAAGCAAAACTAGACAAGTGAGATTACCCAAACTAAAAAGCTTCTCTTCTTCAACCTGTTAATGTGGTATATCACATTGATTGATTTGCAGATATTGAAATATGCTTGCAGCCCTGGGATAAACCCCACTTGATCATGGTGTATGATCCTATTAATGTATTGTTGGAAATTCTCAGTCATATATGAAGATTTTTCTTCACTTTAATCTTTTAAAGTGAACATAATGTCTGAGTTCAGAAAAATTTAAGTTTTACTACCTTACAAGAAATAGAATTCTAGCAGCATAAGAAAAAAGTATTTTAATATCTGGTTAGATAATTAATCTCATAGAAAAAAAATTTGTTTAGAAAAACAAAATTGCTTGGAACAGATGATGATGTGATGATGGCATGAAGTATGAGTTTATAGAGAAATATATATGCATCTATATGTGTATATGTATTTACATACATATTTACTTAATAATAATGTAGTGGTGTGGGGGGATTAAAAATGAAGGAGAAGAAACAAAGGGCCATCATATTTCATTTCTCATGGGAAAGAGAAGAGAAGGAGGGTAGCTGAACAACACTGCAGAGTTCCCAAAGAAACTGTAAGAGCATGAATATCTAAATAATGTTTTTAGATTTCTTGTGATGTTTCAATATAACTAGGAATTCTCTCAAAAGCTCTATGTAAAACCTTTAAGTAAATTCTGTTACTCAAACAAAATCCTTGTGTGTGTTTTGAATTATTTTTTGCTTGTATTATACATCAAGACTATGGGTTATTTTCCATGTTTTTGTTTATCCCAGAGATAAAGGAATATCCCCCAAAACAGAACAGAGAAAATTATCCAGCAAAGGCAGATAGAAGCTACTGGTAACAATAAATTGATATTCCTAAGGAATTTGAGGAAACTGGAAGAAGAAATATCCTGCCACTGGATATTTACTTGATCTTACCTACAAATTAAGAGAGACATATTTCTGACATCAAAGAGACAGAAACATTGGGCTTATATAGCATTTCTTACATCTGTTTAGATATTGCCCATCTTGATACATCTTAATACAATGTATATATCATAATATGATAAACTTAATACTCTGACACATCAAGACAACTGTTCTTTAAGTCTCCATAGGCATTAATCTCTGCTCTTCTAAGAAACATTCCAAATTTGAAAACTTCAAACTACCCTGAAAGGGCTTGCTTAAAATTCTGTCTTGTGATGATGTTAATCCTTTTATCATGAAATTCTATTTCCAAGTATATTACTGGTTCCTGATGTTAGAAGCCCTATGAATTTATTTAGAACTGGTTTTTTTTAGTACACCTACCTTCTATTGTAAACCACGTGCTTAAACCTCCAGATGAATTTCTAGTGTAGTGAAAAATTACCATATTATCATAAGTAGAAGAGCATAAAATTACTATGTCCAGGAGTATAAAATCACTACATATTATTTTTAAATATGATAAATCTTACGGTAACTTCGAAAACTAAAGTAATATAAAACTTGAAGAAATAGATTTTTAAA